CACAGGGTGTCTGTTGTGGGGAGGGGAAGGAGATTGTAAGCTGCTCTGAGACTCCTTCGGGTAGCGAAGTGCGGGGTGTAAATCTAACCTCCTCTTCTTCAAGAATTTCCCAAGCCAGAGCCGGCAACGCTACCCAGGGAGCCTGCAGAAATCTGGGTATGAGATGAGTAGAGCCAGCAGTGAACTGCCAGAAAAAGGCAAAGTGGGCCAGGACCATTTGAAGAAGAAGAAGAGAAGAGATTGGATTTATACCCCGCCCTTCACTCGGAGTCTCAGAGCAGCTGACAAACTCCTTTCCCTTCCCCTCCCCACCACAGACACCCTGTGAGGTAGGTGGGGCTGAGAACAGCTCTGTTGAGGACTGCTCCTGAGAGGACAGCCCTGAGAGAACTTGTGACTGACCCAAGGTCACATCATCAGCTGCATGTGGAGGAGTGGGGAACCAAACCCGGTTATCCTAGGAGAGCCAGCTCTGAGAGAACAGCTCTGACAGAACTATGGCTTGCCCAAGGCCATCCAGCAGCTGCATGTGGAGGAGTGGGGAATCAAACCCGGTTCTCCCAGATTAGAGATCCGAAAATGAACTATGTAGCCGTGCGAAGTCACCACTTTGACAGAGGAGACCAACAGGGCAAGATCAGAGGCGCCAGTCGACTGTCCAAACCCCCGCCTCAAAGAACCACCAGCTACCAATTTAGGTTGGCTGTCTAAATTGAGCCTTCTCACTCAAGGGCCACCTGGGGACTCGGTTATAGGATGTTTAAAATTATAACACCATCCCCCTGTTGATTCAAAATACGTTTCCAAAGTTAGCAAAGAGCCGCAGTCTCTGGGTTCTTTCTCTGACAACGTCCTCCCTCGGGGCCAGGGGTTCTGGTCACCTGCTGGGCTTAGCAGTATTGGGTTGCCAACTCTGGGCTGGGAGATTCCTGGGGATGTGGGGATGGAGCTTGGGAGGTTGAGGAAGGGAAGGGAACCTAAGGAGAGTATAATGCCATAGAATCCAAAGCTGCTGTTTTCTGAAGGGGAGCTGATCTCTGTAGCCTGGAGATCTATTGCAATTCCTAGGGTTCTCCAAGCAGCCCAGTGGCCAAAAAATAGTGGTATTTTAATCGGTTCAGGTGGGGTAGCCGTGTTGGTCTGAAGCCACAGAACAAAGTTCGAGTCCAGCGGCACTTTTAAGACCAGCAAAGTTTAATTCTGGGTAGAAGCTTTTGTGTCCATGCACGCTTCTTCACCTCTGACGAAGTGCGCATGCACACATGAAAGCTTATGCCCAGAATTAAACTCGTTGGTCTCAAAGGTGCCACTGCACTCAAACTTTGTTCTGATATTTTAATAAGAACATAAGAGAAGCCAATGCTGGATCAGGCCAATGGCCCATCCAGTCAAACACTCTGTGTCACACAGCGACCAAAAATACCAGGGGCCATCAGGAGGCCCAGCAGTGGGGCCAGGACCAGTGTTCCCTCTAAGCTGAGCTAGTGTGAGCTAGCTCACAGTTTTTTAGCCTCAGGCTCACACATTTTAGTGTTGGCTCAGGAAGGATGGCTCCAGAGCAAAGTAATTTAGGCAACAGCCAAGTCGCTCGCTCACAACTTTAATGCCAGTAGCTCACAAAGTGGAATTTTTGCTCATAGGATTCCACAGCTTAGAGGGAATATTGTAATTGGGAGAAAGTAAATAAATAATAAATATATATTATCTGTTGCTGTACATATTCTCCTGCTCTCCTTGCAGTGTGTTCCTTCTTATGTAGTGCCATTTTCTGCATTGTTTAACACATCATGTGGAACGCTGTGTCCTTTGTTCCAGATTTCTGCAATCCCAGTCCTATTGCATTGCTTATTAGATCTCTCCTCCTATTAGATTTCTCCTACCTCCCAGGGTGTCCGTTGTGGGAGGAGGAGAAGGGAAGGGAGATTGTGAGCTGCTCCAAGACTCCTTCGGGTAGTGAAGGGGTGGGGTATCAATCCAATCTCCTCTTCTTCTCTCTACTGATTGCACTCACCTGCATCGTGTAATCCACTCTGAGCCTCAAGGGAAAAAGGTCGACTAGAAATAATGTAAACAAATTAAATCAATCAATAAAATTTGGTCACTAAAGCCCAGTTGCTACGGAGCCAGGGACAGGCATATTTTTTTTCTTTTCTGGCAGAGATAAACACCGGGTCTCCCTGTTTCTAGCTGTAGGCCCCTCTTCCATTCTGCCGGTTGTGAGAATAGATCGTTGAACAATGACTGTCATCGTTAAATAATAATGATTACCAGCGCTGTATACTGTCAGATGGTTTTAGTAGGTTTTGGGACTGTTCTAACTGTTATTTATCGGTCATTTTTATGTAAGCCTCCCTGAGCCTCCGTTGGCTGGGAGGGCAGGGTATAAATTTGATAGATAGATAGATAGATAGATAGATAGATAGATAGATAGATAGATAGATAGATAGATAGATAGATAGATAGACAGACAGACAGATAGATAGAT